ATCCTTCCTTCCTTCCTTCCTTTGATCCAATCATCTTGAGCAGCAGATAAGGAGTCTTTATTTCTTTAAGGAAAATATGGTGGAGAGATACTTGGCCACAGCCAGCATCGTCCTTGGGTATCTATCCACCAACAGATAGGGAATGATATTATCTTTTAATATAGTAAAGGTAAAGATTCCCTTGCTCGAAAGCCAGTCGAATCCGACTCTAGGGTTGCGGTGCTCATCTCCGTTTCAAAGCCGAAGAGCCAGCGCTGTCCGAAGACGTTTCCGTGGTCATGTGGCCAGCATGACTAAACACCAAGGCGCACAGAACGCTGTTCCCTTCCCACCAAAGTAGTACCTATTTATCTACTTGCAATTTCTTGCTTTCGAACTGCTAGGTTGGCAGGAGCTGAAACTAGAGACGGGAGCTCACTCCATCATGCGGCACCCGGGTCTCAAACTGCTGAACTACTGACCTTCCACAGCCTGCAGTTCAGCGTCTTAACCACTTGAGCCACCACAGCTCCATCTTTTAATATAGTGGAAGGCAATTTGGTTAGAATAGGGACAATCCATAACTCATGATAAAAGTTATAACGAGGGCATTCCAATATCATAATGGGGCAAGGAGTCAACCTTTTTCAAATTCCATTGGCAGAGTCTATCTGCGTAAGGGAAATTACAGTGTCTCTCATATAGGACTGCTGAAGGGGCAGTGTTCGGTTGTGCAAGCATTTTTTTGGGGGGGATTATCATTGAGGGTCTCTCATATAGGACTGCTGAAGGGGCAGCGTTCGGTTGTGCAAGCATGAATGCTCTACAGTAAGGAGGAACTGTTAGGTATTTAATGTAGGCTGGGATGATTGGAGGTGGAGGGATGCCAAAGAACAGGGTGGAAAATATTCTTCGAGCTCATATAACTGAGCTAAAGTAATCTAGGTCTTTTATGCATTTCTTGATAGTAGAGATTCGCTTTCCCCAAAAATATCTTGTGTGGTCCTTAAATCCAACTTGGGCTGTTTTTCTTGGGGATGCAGTCGAAGGCTTTTGACCCAAATACCCTTAGGTGTTTTGTGCTGGGTTTCTGCCCATGCCACAGCTCATGCAGCGTACTCTTGGCACATTTTCTGGGCAACATGTTCTGTAGATAAGTGGCTGTGTTGGTGGCTTCTTCTCAGTATTTCTCTTGTAGATCCGCTTCTAGTAACATTTCTGTCAAAGAGTGGTTCTTCCTCTCAGCTATGCCATTTTGTTCTGGTGTGTATGGGACAGTGAGTTGATACCTTGTTCAGTTAAATACCTTTTTATATCATGTCCCACGGATTCTCCTCTGTTGTCAGTTTGGATTGCCAGTGGTTTCCTCTGGAACCTGTTGCTAACCTTTGCAACAGTATGCCTTGGGCTTTTGAAGTACTCCACTCTTCTCCCCGATCAAGTAGGTAACTGTGTATTTAGAGAAATTGTCAATGAAAGTCAAAATATATCTGTTCCCACTAGGGGTCTCTGTTTTCATTGGACCATGAACATCACTATGAATGAGCTCCAGGAGGTGCCTTATTTCATTTGGTTCATGATTGTTCCTGAAACGTGGTCTTTTCACCTTGCTAGGATGCAATGCATGGATTTACTTTCAATTGTACACGTATTTATTTGTATGCCTTTCGTCAAAGTCTGGTTCTTAAGTTGGGCAATTGCAAATTCTCGGTGCTGTATCCTGGAACACCTCTTATGATTGCAACTTTTGGTCAAATTTGCACTTTGTGTGCATGTGTCCAGAGCATATAACTCTTCATGCACTCTCCCTGTTGCAATCAGTTCACCATCTTGTTTGATAAGACATCTTTCCTCAACTGAGGTCAACATTCCTCTTTGCAAGAACTCTTACTGAAATCAAGTTATTTGCTAGATGTGGCCCATATAAACCGTTCTCAGTAAGGATTCCTCTGTCCTGTCTTTCTGGGAATCTGCCTTTTACAGTTCCCAATCCTACCCTTCTGCCACAACAGATCTCCCATTAGTTACACTTAGTGCTTCTTCATTTAGAGTTTCAAAAAAGTCTCCGTGTGCACTCCTGTGCATTGAGCATGCACTAAAAACCATATATGACTTTTGGTTGCATCTTTAGTTAATATGAAATACTTCTTCAGGGGTGGCTGTTTCAAATTCTCCCCCTTTGTCTTGGAGGGGCAGCCTTCTTTTTAAAAGCATTGCAGTCCTTTTTAATATGTCCATTTTCCACATGAATAACAACTTACTTTGCTTTTATTATTTACATATAGAGCTACTTGGTCAGCATTCTGCTCCACCTTTCTGTTGGGCTTCTCAAACTGTTTATGTTTGAATGTTTGTCGCAGTTCATTTATCACATTTGGTGGAGAGAAATTTCCTTTTGATTCTATTTGGCATATAATATTTTCATAAGTCTTGGATAGACTAACTGAAATAAAAACAATCAAATCCTGCTCTGCAGTATCTTTGCCAGCACTTCTTAGCTCTTGACTCAGATTAACCATTTGATCCAAGTGCTCTTGCAGATTACCCCCTTCAGGCATCCTTATACTAAATAGCTTCTTTTGGATATAGAACTGGCTCTTTAGAGAGGAGTTAACATAAAGTCTCTCCAAATCATTCCAGACTGCCTTTGCAGTTTTCATTTGAATGACTCGCAAAACATCTTTATCTGACAAACCTTTTATTAAGGTACCTCTTGCCATCTCATTGTCCATGTCCCAGGACTTCTGTTTTGCTGGGGTTTTATCTCCTGGCTGGGATTCATTGACGACATACTAGAGTCCCATTTCAAGCAAGTGGCTTTTCATTCTCTCCCTCCAGATGAGAAAATTGTTGTCAGTCAACCTGTCTAGTAGGTAGTTGTGCTGAGCTGTGCAGGAAGCAGCCATTTAGCAGTTTCTTTCCTCTTCTTTTTGCCTATGTAAACTGTTTCCTTTTTTGCAGCGGTGCTCATGCTGAGAGAATGGAGGAAGGAGAGAGGCTTAACTAACTGACTAACTGCTGTGAAAGATAGGAACAAAGGCTAAATTGGAGCAGGAAGTCTCCAAAGAGTCAATCAGGAGACAGGAAGGACATAATTTGAAATTTTGGGAAGCCCCTAATCTGGCAGTCCTTCAGCTGTCCCCTATAGGATGTTCTTCTGATCTTCCTCAAGAAGGTGCATTATAGACCTTGTATATTCCAACAGATGGAACGTTGCAAGAGAGTTTCTTTACAAGGAAGGGAATAATCCCTCCCATGGCTTTCTGAAGAGGGGGAAGTTCCCCATTCTTCTGGTTTCCTCATAGGTTGTTTGCTTATATCTCTCTCTAGGTTGGGAGTTTTGGTATGATTGTAATGTAGTAAGTTCTGCACTCTTATTGTTATTCTTGTCACTGTTAGCAAATTTAATTGCATTCCTTTGTTGGACTTCAATCAAGTGATCTCGTAATCATTCAAATCTCTTCATAATATCAGTCTGCTCTTCAAGAGGGAAGGGCCTCAAAAGAATTTAAGAAACTTTCATCAATAGCATCATTTTCCTTTGAGACAGTTTTGGATTTTCCTCGCCCTTTGCAGTCCAAACACTTTCCTGGCCTCTTGTGAAGTCGATGGTTCAGTTAAGTCAATCAATGGACTCTCTGGAGCCTCCTAGCTATTAGGGATCTACTGCTATCATTTTTATAAAATTTAGATGCTTTTCAAGTAAGGAGAATTAGAGGGGAGAAGAGGGGTGACTGCAGTGGTTTTGAGGGGGCACTGAGGAAAAATGTCATGACTGCAAAACCACTCCCTATTTGACATAATTAAAGATGGAAGTTTTCAGGAGTGAAATAAAAGCATTAATCTAAAAAAATGGAGGTTACTAAACAGATTGTCAAAATCAACTGAGATGGTGTAAATTTAGAAGGGATGCTGAATGTTCCTTTATAAGCCATTTATTACTCCAATTAATAGTTCTTCCTCTAAAACGATAGGTGTCCAACACAATTCTGCAAGAGTCAGGAACAGAGGAAGAATCTTTCATTGTATGATGAGCTTTCTCCCAGCTTCAGGGGTTTCAGGGCCACGTTCAAATAACTGTGAGATCTTCTGGGTCAGCTATTAATGTCTATGTGCGATAGGAGGGGTAGAAGGAAATGCACAAGCCCAAGGCTGGTTCTTGATCTCACAGTGAAGAAAAGAGGTGGGTAATGTCCCAGAATCCTCCTAGGTCTCTGAAGGTTTATTGATTTCACTGGCTTAAAATGTGTATATTAGTGCTATTCAGGGCTTTTTGGGTAGAAAAAGCCCAGCAGGAACTCATTAGCATAATAGGCCACACCCAATGGCAGAAGCTCGTTAGCATATTAGGCCACACCCCTGACAGCACAGCTTATTAGCCTATTAGGCCACACCCATGCCTTCCCTTAGCTTGCCTGGGTGCCCCGCGGCTGTGGGGAGCCCGGGCAAGCCCCCCCTTGAAGGGGAGGGGAGGCAGTTTAAACAGCCTTCCCTTGGCTTGCCTGAGCGCCCAGCAACTGCGGGGAGCCCAGGCAAGTCAGCCTTTGGACAGGTCGGGGAAGGCGCAGGGAGGCATTAAAATGCCTCCCTGATCCTTCCAGGCCCCCCCTGGCCCACCCACCTCAGAGTTGCCAGGGGGGTGTCGCTCTCCAGGCCTTCCCTCTGTAGCCACGCATGCGCAGAGGTTTTGGCTGTAGTCGTGGGTGTGGCCAACTTGGAAGCCAGCCGGAACTCCGTTCCTGTGCGTTCTTGCTCAAAAATAGCCCTGGTGCTATTGAAATAAATACTGAAATAAACACACTGAAATATGTAAAATAGAAAGTGTGGCTTGTTCTTGACCGTTTCTTTCTCTTCTCTCCATTTGCAGTGGCAGTATGGGCAAAGCAGATGGAGCTGCCAAAATGAGTGCAAAAGATTTATATGGTAAGTCTAAAACACAATAAAGTGTAAAAAATATAGAATGCTCGATCCAAGTTTTTTTCTAGGAAAGGAGGAAGCATTACTCAAATATTATAAAAATATGGAGCCAGAGGTTGCTAGCACTTGACATACTACTGGGGTTCACTTTTACATAGTCTTTGAATTTAGCAGGAAAATTAGCCATCTGTCCACTGTTAGTCAGTACACTTTCAGCTGGAGTATCAGTGGGTCTTGGAAAGATAACGGGAGCGTAACCACCTTCATGTTCTTGCTGGTCTGTAACTTCATCAGAGATCTCTATAGCACCTAGGAATCTGTGCAGACCTTTGTTTTCTTTAGTTGGGGACATTTGACCGAAAGCCTCCACTTTTTCTTTATCATACCTAACACCCCTTTCGGTAAAAACGTGGCCTGTGTACTTGACACTTTGCATTAGGAACTGGATGTTGTCCATTACACACCTCTGGAATGATCTGTCAAGAACACATTTCAGGATGGCATCAATGTTCTTCCTTTATTGTTGCTGGAATGATCATGTCATCTGCAAGAATGTGGGCATCTGGGATGTTGCCAGAGCATCCTTGAATCTTTTGGTGGAATACTTCCCTTGCTGGTGGGATACCAAAAGGAAATCTGATAAAATGGTATCTGCCTCATTGGGTGTTAAAGAGGTACCACTGGTGGTGCTTTAACCATTAAATTACACGCATGCACAAAAAAACAAGTACACGTTGAGGTGCGGATGCACATGTGCAAACAGAATATTAAAAAACCCGACCGCGCAGCTCCTTCGGGTGGACGCCGTCTAGGCAATCCACCACGGGGTAAGTGCACGGTAAGGGGAGCTGTCTAGTCATGCAACGCTGGATAAAAAAGATCAGGATCAAATTAGAGCTGGGGCAATGGCGGGGTTAGCTTCCCATCTGAACGCAGCCACTGCCTGTCAACAAGCAAAACTGTGATTTCATAATCTTCGGACTGTTCTTCAGCCTTTGTCACTGCTAGGTACAGTTGTAATTTTTGTTCCAACTGTGTCCAGTTCTCCTGTAAATACTCCCCTAAATTATTACCTAGTTGAGCCTTCTGACTTGACAATGCAAGAGTTCATGAAACTGGCTAAAGAGGGAACAAAGAACCCGATTAAACAGCAACTGGGCAGAATGTCATGAGTTTGAGAAATGCTCTGAGTGCACAAATACTGTAATCAGCTGGCTGTGTTAATATAGCTACTTGCGTGCCTTTGGACACTGTGGGCTTATTGACTGTTGGACTGCCCCTTGCTGACTGGCTATAAGCAGAAGGTAAATTGCTCTGTCGCCGCATTTCTGTCCAAGAGTAGGAGCTCCTTGTGTTTCCCGTTTGTGAATACTTCTTTCTTTAGCATTTTACTGGCTTCAAATAAAAAAAGAGAGAGAAGCGCTTGGTAGATCACAGCCAGGATACTAGAGGTATTCAGGGCTATTTTGGGGCAGGAACGCACAGGAACGGAGTTCCGGCTGGTTCCTGAGTTGGCCACGCCCAGCAGGAACCCATTAGCATAATAGACCACACCCAACAGCAGACACTCATTAGGATTGGCTACATTAGGGGTGTGTGGCCTAACATGCAAAGGAGTTCCTGCTACAAGAAAAGCTCTGGGTTTTGACAACAAACAAGGTAAACAGAATAAGAAGCAAAAGGTTGGTGTGGCTGGATGACCACACTTCTGGTAACACGGGGGTGCAGCCTAATATGCTAATGAGTGGTGCTGTCAGGGTGTGGCCTAATATCCTAATGAGTTTCTGCTGTTGGGTGTGGCCTATTATGCTAATGAGTTCCTGCTGGGCTTTTTCTACAAAAAGAGCCCTGGAGGTATTGATTTGTTTCAAGTGGCATTTCCCTCCACCCCTACATTACATAACACTTCTGTTTACTTTAGTACTAGCACAAAAACAATTTTGGCCTCCATTATAGCTGGGGTGCTGAGGACTGTAGCTAATATAGCTGAACATCATATTCTGTGGGATGCCTGTTTAGTACGAACTTTTACAAGGTTCTCTCATATATGTGAATTGCCAGAAAAGTTTTACGAAAATTGCTTATTGTTACGACTAGTTTTAATGATTATGTTCCATGATTAGACATTGTGTAACTTTGAAATGGAGCTGCGGTGGCTCAAGTGGTTAAGACGCTGAACTGCAGGCTGTGGAAGGTCGGTAGTTCAGCAGTTCGAGACCCGGGTGTCGCATGATGGAGTGAGCTCCCGTCTCTAGTTCCAGCTCCTGCCAACCTAGCAGTTCGAAAGCAAGACATTGCAAGTAGATAAATAGGTACCACTTCGGTGGGAAGCTCACAGCGTTCCGTGCGTCTTGGTGTTTAGTCATGCTGGCCACATGACCACGGAAACGTCTTCGGACAGCGCTGGCTCTTCGGCTTGGAAACGGAGATGAGCCCCGCAACCCTAGAGTCGGACTCGACTGGCTTTCGAGCAAGGGAACCTGAACCTTTACCTAACTTTGAAATAGCCAATGTCCTTTAAAATTTGTAACAGAATATGAGTTTGCGAGGTTCGGTGTGCTAGAGGGCAGGAAATGAAAGAAGCTTGTGTCCCACACCCCTCCACTCCTGTGTCCTGTTGCTGCTGCAACCATTCTACTGGATCCTGTTTTTCCATTCTGGAATAGATCTGGCTCCTGTTGTCTTCCTCCAGGTAGGCAGATAAGCCCGGTTAACGTGTTCCGCAGCTCTAGCAAGGCAAACGCCACCTTCACTCATGTCCGTAACCTACAGATAGGGAAGACAGATGAGAGGGAGGTGAGGGAGATCAGTCAGTCCCTGCTCACCGTTTTCCTCTCAGTCTATGGGAGCCATGAATAGAAGCCTTGTGCTTTAAAGGGGTACGCTGAGGGGAACTACAAAGACCTGGAGTCAGTACTGTGTACAGCAGGGGTCCCCTATGTTTTCGAGCCCGTGGCGTGTTTAGAATTTTGAGAACAGGGAATGGGCGCTACCACAAAATGGCTGCCATGGAGAGCTGAGGCGAGTTAGAAAATGACTGCCATGGGGTGTTGGGGCCAATCATAAAATGCTGGGAAGCTGCAAGTTAAGCATCCTTCTACTATGATGTCTACTATGAAGCTGTGGTGGCTCAAGTGGTTAAGACACTGAACTGCAGGCCGTGGAAGGTCAGTAGTTCAGCAGTTTGAGACCCGAGTGTGCCACATGACGGACTGAGCTCCCGTCTCTGGTCCCAGCTCCTGCCAACCTAGCAGTTCGAAAGCAAGACATTGCAAGTTGATAAATAGGTACCGCTTCGGTGGGAAGGGAACAGCGTTCCGTGCGCTTTGGTGTTTGGTCATGCCGGCCACATGACCACGGAAACGTCTTCGGACAGCGCTGGCTCTTCGGCTTGGAAACTCAGACGAGCACCGCAACCCTAGAGTCGGACTCGACTGGCTTTCGAGCAAGGGAAACCTTTACCTTTACCTTTACTATGAAGTCAGTTGTTCCTGAGTTCTGCTGTTCCAGTGAGGTGGAGGAAAGCCAGGATTGGTTATCTGCTTGCGTAAAAAGGTACTTTGAGGGAGAAGAAATTGGGCACCAGGAAACCCATCAGCGGGCATCATGGTGCCCATGTGCACTGTGGTTGGAATCCCTGGTGTACAGGTTCTTTCCCCCCCTTGAGGAGCTCTAGCATATTATAGTGGCTAGCATGGATCAGAAATACAGAAACAGAAAATAAATATGCAGTCATGTTCAGTGTTCCCTCTAAGCCGAGTTAGTGTGAGCTAGCTCAGAGTTTTTTTAGCCTCCAGCTCACACATTTTTGTCTTAACTCAGGAAGGAGGGCTCCAGAGCAAACTAAGTTATGCAATAGCCAAATTGCCTGCTCACAACTTTAATGCCAGTAGCTCACAAAGTAGAATTTTTGCTAACAAGACTCCACAGCTTAGAGGGAACATTGTTCATGTTATCAACACCTTGGTTTAATCACCCTAGGCCTTCTCCTTTCCCTGATGGGGAAGATAGATGGTACAGCATATTTATGTATTTAGGGAGAACTATAAAGAGTGAGTGCTGTATGCTCTATGTAACTGAATTTCCTTTTGATCTTCTGAGAGTAATGACGGTCTATAATGCTGCTATCATGTGTCCTTCGTTATGCAAAAAGCAGGACAAACCAGGAATCCAGTTTATCCAGTTCATCCTCAGAAGAAGAATCTATTCTCTACGCAGAAATCAGGTTCTACAAGTAATTGGAACTTCCACTGGATTTTAATTGCGCAATCAAAGGCCACATACTTAGTGTTATTTTTGTGACCTTAACTGGATTTATTCATTCCAATGCTCACTGTGAGCACCATTGCTGGCTAGTTGGGTATCACCTGTGTTTTAAAACAAATAAGGCTACATAAATGTAAACTGAAAAGAACAGGATCAGTTTATTTATTTATTTAAAACATTTTAATGCCGTGTTTCCACCCAACCAGGGTCCACAAGGTGGTAAATAGAAAGACATTACAAATTTAAATAATTAAAATACAGCCAAAATATAAAATTCAATTAAAAACATATAAACAAACAAGAAGGAGAGCCAAAAACTATAAGTGGAGGTGTTTCAGACAAAATGAAAAGGTCTTCAGTTACTGGTGAAAGACACCAATAGTGGGAGACACTTCGCAGGGCTCTTTTTGTAGCAGGTACTCATTTGCAGGGGTCATTTCCTGCAGGAGCGCACAGGAGCGGAGCTCCGGCAGTAAAGAGCCCAGGGGGCGGGCACATGCAACAAACCCCACCCCTTGCTCCCAGCAGCCCTCAGTCAGAGGAAGAAGCAGCCAGGTAAGTTGTAGAGCTCCCCCCAGCCCCCCGGTCCAAAACAGTCCAGTGGCACCTTTAAGGCCAAGTTTTATTCAGGTACAAGCCCCCCCCCCATAGCTAGCAATCCAAAACAGTCCAGTGGAGCCTGAGCGGTGGGTGTTGCCTTCTGACACACTTCCAGTGATGTCAGGGGGTGTGGCATATGC